AACTATAACTTATCACACTGATCAAATAAATCTTAAAACATGAAAACTATAACTTATCACACTGATCAAATAAATCTTAAAACATGAGAACTATAACTTATCACACTGATCAAATAAAACTTAAAACATGAAAACTATAACTTATCACACTGATCAAATAAAACTTAAAACATGAAAACTATAACTTATCACACTGATCAAATAAAACTTTAGGTCAGATGTGACATTGTGCTCTTTTATAAATTACAAAACGTTTATAAAACAATTAACACTTGGCAGCTAGTATTGTGATACAGGAGGCTAATCCAAATAGCATAATACGATACATATATAAAAAGACTGTTACACAAAAGCTTTCATACTTACAATAGTTCCAATTATTACTGTAGAAATAGCTCCACCAATGAAACCTTCCCAAGTTTTCTTAGGTGACAGTTTAATCAGCGGTGTTTTCCCAAAGAAAAATCCAAATACATAGGCCATGACATCGTTACATATAATCATGGAGACTGGAACAATGAACCTACAAAAAAATTACAACATGATACTAAAACACTTGTTAACCCTTTCATGGTGGGCTCATGCAACTTGAGTCATGAATTTCATTTGTACAATACATACGATACTCAGATTTCTAAATGTATCGTCAAAAACTGAAAATTTTGTTAACAATCATATGTATCTTGTACAAAAATGACAGTTTTATAATCAAGAGTTTTTCCTAAATATGTTATTTTTCTATTGTAATGACTTGCATACAAACTATTAACAAATCCAGTACAAGGTGATTTTAATTTTAAATACGCTCTTGAACCTAGTAAAAGAATATGAACATTTACCAGCACTTTCTCTACATAGATATTCTCATCAACATGCAATGAAATAGAAAAAAAAAACCTTTTAATTTTTTGTAGGATATCTTTAAAGTTTTTTTCTTTTGAAAATTTTAAATTTGATATCTTTTCACATATAGTTAATTGTTAATGATTTATTTTCCCTTCTTGTCCTTTACCACTTATTATTCATCTCAACACAAGTCAACAGTTTCTTTCGAAGATGTAAGAAACCCTTCAACAAAATGTTTGTTTCAAAACGGACAAAGTATGATTTATATCAAAATGTTTAAACCAACTAATATATAATTAACTTAAATATAATAGTAAGACCTAAATACAATTTAAACTGTATCTCTAACTACAACATATCTAGGTTAGAAATAATTGTAAGTGCTATAGTTCATCAAGCAGCCATCTATACTGCAGTTAGTTACATGTACTCCAATTTCAAAATAACCAATGTTAGATTATAGTGTAAAATGATCTCTGTCTAATGAATATATACACGTGTGTGTAGCACCTACATGGCGGTTATAAAGCCCAAACAAATCTGTTAAAGGTGGGTGTGGTACCTGTCGGGGGTTGAAACAATTTATTACATGTTTCAACTGTATTCATTCAGAGAAGTTTGAAAAGGTTATGTAAGCAACTTGACGTACCTCTACTCAACTAACATTGTGTTAAGCAGCTTGACGTACCTCTACTCAACTAACATTGTGTTAAGCAGCTTGACGTACCTCTACTCAACTAACATTGTGTTAAGCAGCTTGACGTACCTCTACTCAACTAACGTTGTGTTAAGCAGCTTGACGTACCTCTACTCAACTAACGTTGTGTTAAGCAGCTTGACGTACCTCTACTCAACTAACGTTGTGTTAAGCAGCTTGACGTACCTCTACTCAACTAACATTGTGTTAAGCAGCTTGACACACCTCTACTCAACTAACATTGTGTTAAGCAACTTGATGTACCTCTACTCAACTAACATTGTGTTATTGAAGATATAGAGAACGAAATTATAGAATAGCTTGTTGGTCACATGACATCTGAAGTTTTAAGTAGTTTTTAAAGGTTTATTTTAAAATAAAAGACTTAAAACCTCGAATCCTAACACACATTACAATATTAATTTTCATTCATATACATTGATAGTAAAATATCTGTTAATCATTGTGTTTAACGGTGGCCATGCTGCAGTAGCATCATAAGAATTCCACTTGTTTGATAAGGTTGAGATCTGTATGCAACAGAACTGTCTTTATTTTAACGATTGACCTAAAGGTTGAGATCTGTATGCAACAGAACTGTCTTTATTT